ACCATAAATTAAACAACTACTTCAACTAATTTGAGCTACTACATTCATCAAGCTACTACTACTAGTAGTAGTTCGAACTACTACTTGAACTACACAGAAGATTAAACTACTCGTCATCAGAGCTCTTGAACTGCTACCAGAACTCATCCTTGTCCGGCTCGTCGCACCCCTCGTCCTCCTCCTTCGAGTCACCCCGGTCCTCTCTTCGAGGACTCCACGAGGATCATCGTCAAGGGGCTGGCCTCGTCTTCCTTCTTCTTCTTCTTCTTCTTCTTCTTCTTCTTCTTCTTCTTCTTCTTCTTCTTCTTCTTCTTCTTCTTCTTCTTCTTCTTCTATTCGGCGTCATGCTTTCCAGAAGTACTCCTGCTCGGCCTGAACATACTCCAGATTCTTCCGCGCGAAACTGGCCATCGCCGCCTCATCACTATCACCGTGACCAACGACAATGGTCGGCCTCTTCTTCGCCTTCTTCTTTGGTATCTCCTCCATCTGAATGCAGTGTGGCACTAGCATCTCCGCATCTGCCTAGGTCTCGATCTCCGGGAAGTTGAGGTGCATCTTCGGCCTTACGGCACGCCACACCGCCACATTGTAGGCACGCACGACCTCGTGGGCGGTGGGGTAGGCGTCGAGCAAGAAGCACCGACCGGCGAAGAACTCCACGCGAAGTTGCCGGATGGCTTTGCCCGCCCGCCAAAGGACCCTGTTTTTCCCTTCGGGAGCTTCTTCAGCGGCATGGCGTGCGGCGAAGTGGCGCCGATGGAGCGAACGACGCAGGGGCAGCGAGGTCGGGCGGCGGCGACGGGGCAGACGACGCGGGGGAGGCGAGGTCGGGCGGAGGCAGGGTCGGGTGAGGTTGGGGCGACAGCGTGCGGAGGTGGGAAGAGGAGCGGCGGCGTCGGGCGGCGAGGTGGGGGGCAAGGCGACTCGAGTGGCGGCGACAAGCGGAGACATGACGACCAGGGGCTGGTGGAGGGGAGGCGATGGACGAGGGTCGAATCGGGCGGTGGTGGGCGGCAGAAATTAGCGGTGGCGGAAGGCGGAACAACGTCGGAGCCGACACCTGGGGCGGCGGCGGTGCCGGATCTAGCGCGAGGCGGCAACGGCGGTGCGACAGGGGGTAGGAGGAAGAAGGGAGGGAAGCAAATGGGACGGCAGTTGGCGGTTGGCACACATCTGGCAAATATACGTCTCCTATAGGTGGAGATGTATATGTGCATCGTGAGGTATTGTATTATCCATCTCTGGGAGGCGGAGATGTAAATTCTTTTTGCATCTACATCATCTGTTGGAGAAGGATTTTTTTTGGGCCTCGAAAATGCAAAAGTTAGTTATTTTTCACATCTACATCTTCTATTGCTCAATGATGTTAGAAATTTCACGACTTGCAGGCGCAGCCGACGCCCTCTACATCATTGGATCCCCTGAATGAATGTCAAAGCGTTCGCTTTCATGCACGCACCTCTAGGGAACTACAAGTTGGCGGCAATATACAATTCGGTCTAGATGGCAATTTGAGAGAACACTTTTCAGGATGGCAAATTATGTTGGGGTTAGCAATTGTCATTATTTTAGGTTGATGTAGCATCACAATTTTCCTTCAGCAATATGGCAAATCCTGGGCATGGCAATTCTCGCCATTTTCATGAATTCAGAAACTGTTTGTGATTTTGAAAAATGTTCGCAAAATACGAAAATGTTCATAAATTCAGAAATAGTGCATGATTTCAAAAAACGATCCGAGTTCAGAAAAGGTTCACGATTTTTTAGATATTCTCAGATTTCAAAAAAGGTGCACAATTTAAAAAATGTTCCTGTATTTCAAAAATATATTCAGGTATGGCAAAAAATGTTAAGGAAGTTAAAAATTGTTCGTGAATTTGAAGTTCTTTTTGCATGATTTTCAAAAGTAATTTGAACCTGAAAAAAACATTTGCGGATTTATAAGAAGTTCACGAATCTGAAAATGTTCACGAGTTTAAAATAAGTTCTCGGGTTTGAATAAGGGAAAATAGAAAATAGAAAGGTAAAAAAATAAAAGAAAAATAAAGGGAAACCAAAAGAAAACACAAAGGAAACAAGAAAAAGCTAGTTTACTGAAGGTTCTAGAATCTTCCCAAAACCCATGGGGAGACAAAAGCAAAATGAGCCGGCCCATATAGGCACGCGGGAGGGCATGTGAAGCGACCTATGTGCGAGCAACTAACTCGAGGTTAATTACCACTTGCAGGGGCCTCCAGGGGGTCACCCTTGGTGCGCATAAAGCATGCCAACTGGTGCGTCCAGCTGCTGCCACATGCTCTCTCATTTTTTAAATTTTTTATATGCGTTTTCGGGTTTTAGATAGGCTTTTCTTGGGTTTTCTAGCTTTTGGATTTTCCCTAGGTTTAGAGAAAAAATCATGTTTTTTTTTGCTTTCGCAAGAAGCACATATGTGCTTCTCGGAAAGAAAAATATATGTGCTTCTCGGAAAGAAAAATATATGTGCTTCCACGTAGAAACTGTGATTTGTTTCAACAAGAAGCACAGTTGTGCTTTTCAGAAAGCGAAAAATATGTGCTTCCACAAGAAGCATAGATTTTACTTTGTTTCTAGTGTGGAGGCATGTCATTACTTCCACAAGAAGCACAACTGTGTTTCTTGAAAAGCGAAAAGAAGTGAAAAAAAACGTGCTTCCCTGGCTTTTTTCTTCTATTTTTGGCTTCTGGTCTTTTTGGTTTTCGTTTTCTCAGTTCTGTTGCATATTTTTTTTCTTTTTTTTAGTTACAAGTTTTTTTTGAAAAAAGTTTATTGAAATCGATTACATGAAATCTAGTTTTGAAGATCTTGATATGAGAAATACAATGGTGAAATCGGTTCAAGATTTGACCGCACGGTTTAAGAGATAAAATGTTCTGAATAAATAAATTTATGAAAAAAAGTAAAAACTCCTCGGTTGCTGAGAAGATGGGACTGACCATTTCTTTGTGGTTGCTAGGGGTTAACGATTTCAGTGAAATAGGGATCACTTTTTTTTATATCGAAATGACTACCATCTACCCGCAAAAAAAAAATGACTACCATCTGAAGGCCTTGAGTATTGCATGCACTAGGAAGTGGACAGGCCCTGCTGGTCGATCTGGGCCATGAACGTTTTGTTACTACTACTACTTGTATGGGCCGCGTAGTTGAGCCTGTTCGGTTGACATCCTTATCCCATGCCCCCGGCTGTCTGAAGAAAGAAAGAAAAATCCATGCCCCCGGGCACCGGCGGTGGCAGCGTGTCCAGTCGGCCGCGGCGGCGCCTCCACGCCCCCCTGCGGGTGCGGCGAGGCGTTCGCGTGATATCTTATCTTAGCTAGATTATTTTACTTTCTTCTTCCCCTTCTGTCTTCCTTTCTTCCCTGGCTGCGGGGGGCGTTACTTACCATTGGCGGCGGCGCTGGTGGTTGATTGCAACGACGGCAGCAGCGCCGCCGCCGGTCACCACCTTGCTCTCTCCCGTTGGCTATCTCAGCTCCTCCGCGTAAGCTGGATTTGCTTAGGTATACATAACCTCACCTTTCGTTTCCTTTTTCTTAACCTTGTGCCGTGCTTTGCACTCGGAATGAGGAACTGGGATGCCTAGTGTACTAAAGAATCAAAAAATAGTGCAGAAGATAGTTCACAGCAATGAATGCAGATTTTTTGTCAAAAGAGACCACCTGCCGGATCGAAATGACAAAAAAGACCATCTCTAAATTAGATTGACAAAAGAGACCCCCTCAATCGTGGCGGCAGGCGCGCCAGGCGACACGTGGCACCTGCCGCCACGACGTGAGGCGGCCGGCCCCGCCGCCACGCTGCTAGACGGCAGCCTGTGCATTTACAGTTTTTCAGCCCCTCGCCACACAGGACGGAACGGAGCATGGGTATGGTGGACCCCGCCGCCACCGTATGAGGCGGCCGGAACTGTAGTTGCTGCCACCATTGCATGCACGGGTTGGGTCACTGAGTGGCATCATTGCATGCATGGTTTTGACTAGATGCATTTCCGGTGCTAGCTAAGATCATCTCTAGTGATTAGGCTGATTGGACGACCAAAAAGCTGCTATGTCCGGTTCAAGCAAATGCGCTCCAGTGTGTGGTACACATAATACAATGCCACCAGCTACAGTGCCAGCCGCCTCACACGGTGGCGGCAGGGCCCACCCGTCCCGCGTGCGGCAGTAGCAGTGTGTCGGCCCGAGCGCAGCAGGTACAGTGGCGGCCGCCTCAAATGGTGGCGGCGTGGCCCACCAGACCAGTCACTGTTCCGTTGCCGCCTGGAATCCTGTCGCCAGCGACTCGCCGCCTGGCAGCGTGGCGGCGGGGTCGGCCGCCTCACGGCGTGGCGGCAGGTGCCACGTGTCGCCTGGCGCGCCTGCCGCCACGACCGAGGGGGTCTCTTTTGTCAATCTAATTCAGAGATGGTCTTTTTTGTCATTTCGATCCGGCAGGTGGTCTCTTTTGACAAAAAATCATGAATGCAAGGTTCCTCATTCTCCAACTATTTCATTGCAAATCGAGTCCAATTTCAACTAGTTTCTACTTCATTGTTATCACAATATAGTGGCTCATAAGCTACACAGGAAGCTGACTAAACAACCAAACTTTCTAGTTGTACATACTACTGCTACCAATTGCACCACCATGTAATGTAGTTTAGCATTTAAGACTCCCTCCATTTCTTTTCAGTCTTCATATAACATTTGTCTGCAGTTAAATTTAGCAAAGTTTGACCAACTTTATAAGGAAAAAAAATCAACATTCACAGTTTGAATCAATATCATTAAATGCATCATGAAATTAATTTTCACTATATAGCTTTAGTATTGTAGTTCCCGACATTTTTTAGTATAAATTTGGTCAAACTTTCCATAGTTTGACTTCAAACAAATCTTGTATGCGGAGTAAAAAGAAACGGAGGGAGTACATGAATTAAATATATCCCTCAAGCGTGTAGGGCTAGTACACTATGGTGATACGATCTTCATCTTTTGTTATGGCGTGCGGCGATTGTCATATGGGACAAAGGGCTTAGGCGGCACCTGCAGATCCTGCAAACTTCCCAATAACATGTTTATCACCTTTGTCATTGATGGCCGGTTTCTTGGGTTCCACTGAATACACCACAGTGCCACAATAGCCAGCTGTCTCATATTTACTTGCCCTTCTGGTGTCACTTCCAGAGTAAGCACCAGTTCCTCTCCAGTCATTACTTTCTCATAGATCCACTCCGGGAGATATACCTGGTTCTGGATCCCAACACTTGGGTCTGAGTTCCTCCTCCCACTCACCATTTCTAACACCAGCATGCCAAAACTGTAAACATCTGACTTGTAGGATATCCCTCCAAAGTTCCTAGAGTATAGTTCTGGTGCGATGTAACCCATGGTGCCTCTTGCTGCGGTCAAGATAATGATGCTTTGGTCCCTTGCACATAACTTTGCAAGGCCGAAGTCTGAGTTCTTCGGATTAAAGCTGTAGTCCAGTAAGATATTGTGAGGCTTGATGTCCAAGTGGAGGATGCGCTGATTGCATCCTTGATGCAAGTATTCTATTCCTCTAGCAATGCCTAAAGCAATATCTAGCATTTTTTCTGGTGCCAGGAGTTCTCGGGGAACAATGTAATTACCTGAGAATATATATTTCTCCAATGAATCTTTAGACATGAATACGTAAATAATAGCCCTTCTTGTACCTTCAGAGCAAAAGCCAAGAAGGCGGACAATGTTTGTATAGTGGATTCTCCCGATAGTTGCAACTTCATTGATGAATTCCTGCCCCTCTCCATTAGAGTTCTCCAGCATCTTGATCGCCACAGGAACTCCATTTGGTAGCTCACCTTTGTACACACTTCCAAATCCACCTTGTCCTAATTTATCCTTGATCCGTCTTGTTATCTTCTTAATTTCGGAGAAAGTGTACCTTGTGGGTTTTGATGTGCCATATGTCTTGAGGAACATTTCAACTTTCAAATGTATCTCTTCATTGTATCTTGTCTTTAGCGAAAGATAAAGAGCAGTGGCTACCATCAACAGAAGAACAACAAATGCGGCTGAAGATGATGTAGCTGAATACATGGAAACCAGCATGTTCATTAGGGTTGGAAGTTATTGCTTTAGCGATTGTAATGGGAATGAGAGAATATAAGTGGGAATATCTAGATAATTACTTTATAAGCAGCAGATATATACTTCATTTCCATCTTTGTTTAATACAAATAGAGTATGGATTGGAGCTGTACCTGCAATGATTTTGACACATGAACCTGCAAATACCAAAGAGGAGATTAAATTTGATTGTTTATTTAGTACATAATAGGAAAATTAACTAATTAAGTTGAGAAAAGAAACATTAGATCCAACATTGATGTATGGCCAGTGGGGGTGGGGCAGGATGGGGTGAGAAAGATCAGAAGAAATCTTCCATTACCAACTCTGGTAAGTGGTAACAGAGGAGTCTTTAGGGTCAATCAAGAATCATAAGGGTGGGTCCTGCTCAGTGGCTTCATTGGATTAAGGGTTATTCTCACCTTACAGTCACAGTCTCACATATCTTGGCCCGTCACCCGTCAAAACACCCTCCTATTGTAGAAATTTCCTTCTTGTATATACCTTGCACTGCTACTGGCAACCAGATGTCACATTGGGGACACCCAGCCTCCCAGGTAAACTTTATGCAGGCATATCATGCATTTATTCATTTCTTACTTTCGCTTCTTATATTTCTCACCATCAGGTGGTTCTTACTCTGTTCTTTGTGATATTTACTCCATTTTATATTCTTCACCATCCAAATCTTTTTTTTGCACAGTACCACATTATATCAGTATTAATACAGCTCATGCGGCATCAGGCTCTAGTACTTCATATCCCATCATAAGTATGGTAGCACAATAATGCCTGGAAGTGAATGCATGGTGATGGATTTGAGCTGCCTAACTATAACATGTTTTGAGTTTTCTGACATGAGTCAATGCTTTTTGTCATATCAAACTGTTGGCTTGTCACTCCACTCCATTAGAACAATGCTGATAGCAATGCATATTTACAGCATTACTAAGATTTCTAGTATGAGCTAGCATGTATTTTGGACTGAGTTTAGGCTAAATTGTTGCAACCTGATTTATCTTGGCAAGTCTCGGTACAGGGGGGGTGGGGTGCGGGGGAGGAGGGAAACTAGAAACAGAAACGGCTGTAACATGTTGGCTTGCGTCCAATAGCAACCACAGAAACTTGAAGTTCTTGGAATATGTTATAGGAATTCTGAAGTATATTACAACTGAGAGATCGCTTGTGTTTATCTCAAATGTGTTTTTGTCTGTCCCCATAATTATCATGAAAATGCTAAAAAATTATAGTAGTATACTGTCATATGTAGAGATGGCCATTCGCTAATTGATGAAATAAACCCTAATCATTGCCATAATTATCATGGAATACTTAACAGTGGAGCTGCTTAATTTTTTCTTAATTTAATTTTGGACCACCCAAGTTTTTCTCCAATGTTTACAAATATGTGACCCATTTTTGCTTCCTAATTTCAGAATGTACATGTGCTTATAATGTGTTTACTCAAGCTACCTACCATAATGGTTTGTCATACTGTTTATACAAAATAGTTTGAAAAAAAAACTTCTGAAAATGTCGCACAGTAGAAATTAATGATACCTTTATGAGGTTGAGACAAGCAGAATGTTTCGTTCTTTTGCGAGCTGAATGCGCAGCGTTGCCCGTTCTTCTCACATTTTTGGCACTCAGAGGGAATGGATGACGGCTCCTGTTCACTCCAGTCGGCTGCTATGTCATAAAACTGGAGGGCTCCTTCAACACCATGCTTGGATGCTGACCCATAATATCCTGTGCCAAATATCGGGAGGGCGACATCTGATATGACCTTGCAGTCTAATGGAAGATAATACATGAATGCATAAGTTGCCACCAAATACGAGAAGTGGGTTTTGTTGCTAAGGCAGGAGATTGGGCCGGCGATAGTATCGGCAGCTGAGGCAGAAGCATAGTAACTGCCTCTCTCGTCATAGACGGGATACTGAGTAATCCCGCTTGGCGTGAACTCCCTTGAGCAGCCTACAAGCCTTCCAGATCTGCTATAATGTGGAGTACAGTGGTGGCCAGTGTCAGCCGGTGGTGAACTTGTCGATATGAGATTCTGAATCATTGTGCACGCGGAGGTAAGCGGGGTGATGTTGAGGAGGGCACCGGTGTAATTTATGGCGTTGACATTGCATGGGCCAAGAAGTGGGTGAAGCATGATAGTGGATTGGCCTGAGCATGCTAGCTTCGCACATGTTGCACCGCAGGATGAAGATGTATTGCTGGAATCAAGCCGGAGTGGGAACCGGATCTCGGGTCCATCCTTGCTGCACCGGGACGGCGGACAGTTTCTGAAGAAATCTTGGTCATCCCAAGCTGCCGAAGCTGTGGCCATGTCGGCTCCATGGCTGACAAGGCAGACCACCAGGGCTGTGACAAGAAATATACTCATCCTTCTCCTTCTGCACTGTGGAGATGGATGAAGGTAATCCAGGTATTGTGATTACAAAGACATAAGAAGCATAAGAAAATCAGTAGTCTAAGTTGTGCTTGCCTGAGTAAGAACTTCCTCCGTCCGTGGATCAGTGAAAACCTCCTGTATGTTGTTTTCTAGTAGGTGACTGCATCGTTGTAGATAAGCTTTTAGACTGCATCACTACAGTAGAATCCAAGACCTGACACTGACATGTATCAACCCCCTTGCCAAGTCACAGAGGCATATACCAGCATCCCTGCCTGATTATACTAACTAGGAGGAGTTAACAAGGATCATATACATATGGCAACATCCTCTTTATGATGACATATGGCAGCAGTGATGTGGATGTTAACCATCTCTGACCGGGTCATTCTACAGTTCTTTTTATTCCATCATCCCTTGTATATGTCGTGTTTGTTTTCACCCTTGTTTCCTTGCTGTCCATTAAACATGAGAAGAAAGCACGCAACAAAGCCAGAACAAGAGATAAACAGTTGACTATCGTCGATGCCTCCATGGTGGTTCCTGGTGCACTTCATGGTTGCAGTTCTTGCCGTGGATGTTCAGGGGCGACATGATATTACTCATAATAGCAGGTATGCCTGCGCTCCTTTCTCTTGCGGACATCTCCAAGATGTCCAGTACCCTTTCCGCCAGCAAGGAGATCCATGGTGGTGCGGTTCTCCATCATATGAGCTGACTTGCACCGATAGCAGTGCTACAATTCAGATCAACACAGGGACATACTTTGTCACTGAGATTGACTACAAGTATTCTTCCTTCTGGGTCGTGGACGCCAACTTGGACATGAGCAGCAGCTGCCCTCTTCCTCGTTGGGATCAACGCCCTTATCTACATGGCCTCCAGCAGTCCGACGGCTCCATCATATTTGACCCTTTTTTCGTTACGTGGGCTAGCTTTGTGAATTGTTCGCGGGTGGTCAGGAACAATAGTGACTACATACCGGTCACTTGCCTGAACACGAGGTATTCTTTTGTCTATGTGTTGATTGACTATATTTCTGTTGGGAACCTTGAGCCTTCTTGCGGGTACTTGGCCATGGCTGCTTTGGGTGGTTGGAGCATGCGATACGGTAATGCAAGTCATGAAATTCTGGTAGAATCCATGAGGAGAGGATTTGCCGTTAGGTTTCCTTTCAGATATGAAAGGACTCCGGAGGATTTCAAGGGGTGCCTAAAGGATCGCTTTGTGTGAGTTTGAAATCTATACACCATGATTCTTTTCTGGAACATACTTATATGCTTGACTTTTCTACATTTTCTCCATTGTCTGCAGCCCACGCCCTGGATATTCAGTGGCTCGTCGTGTCTTACATTGGATTATGTCCATTTTGTTTGTCGACCTTGAATTCTTGAGTTGTGCATTTGGAACAACAGTTCCTTCCAATGAACATCTCAGCACACTAAGGTTTGCAACAGTATACTCCACAACAATATTGAAGTTGATTGCTGGTACGTTGATCGAGCTACATATACTAGACAGACGAGTAATTTCTTGGCGACCCCACGTAAAATTGTTCTATATTTGCAGTACTATGCAGGTTAGTGGTTGCTCCTCTGGTGGTACTGTTCTTCCTAGCCCACAAATACTGGAAAACAAGGATCACAATCGATGCGGTTGAGAAGTTCCTACGGATGCAACAAATGGTCGGCCCGACAAGGTATGCCTACACGGATATTGTCGCAGTAACAAGCCATTTCAGAGACAAGCTGGGCCAGGGAGGCTATGGCTCTGTGTACAAGGGCGTTCTACTCCCGGGCGATGTCCATGTGGCCATCAAGATGCTAGATGGTAAATCCAGCTGCGATGGAGAAGATTTCATCAGTGAGGTCTCCACCATCGGCAGGATCCACCATGTCAATGTGGTGCGTCTGGTCGGGTTCTGCTCGGAGGAAATGAGGAGGGCGCTAGTCTACGAGTATATGCCCCATGGTTCTCTGGACAAGTACATCTTCTCGGCCGAGAAGATTTTCTCCTGGGACAAGCTCAATGAAATTGCCTTGGGCATTGCCAGGGGGATCAACTACCTGCATCAAGGATGCGACATGCAGATTCTGCACTTCGACATCAAGCCGCACAACATCCTTCTTGACAGCAATTTCGTCCCAAAGGTTGCCGATTTCGGCCTTGCCAAGCTATACCCAAGGGACAACAATTTTGTGCCGTTGAGCGCCCTACGGGGAACCATTGGGTACATAGCTCCTGAGATGATATCCCGGAGCTTCGGCGTCATATCAACCAAGTCTGACATTTACAGCTTCGGGATGCTGCTGCTGGAGATGGCCGGAGGACGGAGAAATGCCGACCCGGGAGCGTCGAACTCAAGCCAGACATTCTACCCGTCGTGGGTGTATGACCGGCTAACCAAACAGGAACTGGGTGAGATACGTGCTGAGATGCATGAGTTGGAGAGGAAGCTTTGTGTTGTTGGGCTTTGCTGCATCCAGATTCAGTCTCATGATCGGCCGGCGATGAGCGAAGTCATAGGGATGCTCGAAGGCGGCGTGGATGGCCTGCAGTTGCCTTCGAGGCCATTCTTCTGTGACGACGGGCAGACCCCTGTAGCGGAGTCTTATGATTTCTGCTCTGGGCTGACTGCCATTTCAGAGGAGCATGAGTGAAATTTTGCCTATGTTCGATGTCAATTATTACTACCGAGGCGACGAGCATGTGAAAATTTTCAGTAATGGTTGTTCTGGAGCAAAAGAATGTGAATTATCTATTTTCTTTTTCGTGGTTGGACCATTTTTCTTTTGAATGTTATCCGAAATTCAATCATATCAAGTGCAACATTTCATTTGACCTCCGAAATCCTAGGATGATCTCCCTTGCGAAAAACGTGTGAACTGTTTTTTTTTTTGAAGAAAAACATACATCAGCAAATTACAAAGGAAGAATGTATATGCAAAATACGATGAGCTGTTGGCGAGAACCCCTTGTACTCCTGGTTGGTTTGCCAGTGTCCTAGCTCCTGATGGCACATCTGTCTGTGCAACCCAGCTGAAGAAGCGTGGCACTGTTGGCGCGTGTCACCTGACAAATGATAATTCAAACTAAAAGCTTCATATCTCCGAGTCCGGTACTCCTTGTACTCTGGACCCAATTGCGCTACAAGAAATCGTTGTACTCTGGGCCCAATTGCGTGGCACTGTTGGCGAGAACCCCTTGTACTCTGGGCCCAATTGCGCTACAAGAAATCGTTCACAAGTTAAAACGCACTAGGGCCGAGGGCGTGCTCCTTAAATTAGATTTCAAGAAAGCATATGATCGCGTGAACTGAGAGTTTGTGCGAGAGGTCTTCCTCAAAAAGAGTTTTGAGGCAGGTTTTGTGCATCGCATCATGCACCTCGTGTGTAGTGAGCACACGGCGGTTACTATCAATGGCACAATGGGCAAGTTTTTCCGTAACAAACGGGGTCTCCGGCAGGGAGACCCAAGCTCGCCTCTCATTTTTAACTTTGTTGCGGAGGCCTTGGCGGCCATGATTAACAAAGCGCGAGTAGTGGGTCACGTTAAAGGGCTAGTGCCCCACCTCATCCCTGGTGGGGTTACGCACTTGCAATACGCAGATGATACGATGCTCTTGTTCGAGCCCAACAATCACAGCATAGCTACCATCAAGCTACTGTTGCTCGCTTTTGAGATTTTATCGGGGCTTAAGATCAACTTTTTGAAGAGCGAAGTGATCACCATCGGGGTGGATGATCCTGAAAGGGCTCGGAATGCCAATCTACTTAATTGCAGGCTGGGGAGCTTCCCGATTAAGTACCTTGGCCTCCCTATCTCGACCAAGAAACTTTCCATTGCGGAATGGGAGCCTCTATATGGAAAGGTCGCAAATCGGGTGAGCCCTTGGAGGGGCAGGTTTATGTCCTCGGCGGCATGGCTTATTCTCACTAACTCGAGCTTGTCCTCCCTCCCGCTTTTCACAATGGGAATGTTCTTACTAGCGGATGGGGTTCATGCTAGATTCGACACACCGCGCTCTCGGTTCTTTTGGGAAGGAGCTGGGACCAAGCGCAAATACCACTTAGTGAAATGGGCAGCGGTTTGTAGGCCAAAAAAAATCGGTGGGCTGGGTGTTATGAACTCTAAACTCATGAGCGTGGCCCTGCTTACGAAGTGGTGGTGGCGTCTGGCCCAAAATGAGTCGGGACTCGGGGCCGACATCCTCCGGGCTAAATATTTCCCGGATGGGAATTTGTTCAACGCTAAGAGCAACAGTTCGGCCTTTTGGAATGGGGTCCAAGCGGTGCGGCCAGCTTTCACAGTGGGTGCACAATTCTGTGTGAACGATGGCAAGTCTACACGTTTCTGGCTCGACCATTGGTGGGGTTAGGGACCGCTGCGGCACTCCCACCCGGAACTGTACCAACTGGCAACGGACACCAACATTTTGGTGGCCGATGCGCTACGTGTCTATCCGCCTACTATCTCCTTTATTAGGACACTAGACACGACGGAGGCCTCCAGCTGGGACTTGTTGGCGGCTGACTTGGGTGGATTGACCCGTAGTAATGGGGCGGACACGATACGTGGAAGTTGACCTCCTCCAAGAAGTTTACGGTCAAGTCCTTATACGACAAGCTTTCCGAGGGCACTACCTAGACATAGCTAGGGGGCTATGGAAGGCCGGTATACCTCTCAAAATCAAGATCTTCTTGTGGCAAATGTTTCGAAACCGCTTACCAACTCCCGTAATGTGGCCAAATGCAATGGGCCGGCAGATGGAACATGCACCACTTGCGGTTTAGGGGAAAACGCAAACCATGTTTTCTTTGGATGTGCGCGCGCTAGATTTGTGTGGAGTGCGGTTAGAGACACTTTCAAACAAAATTGGAATCCACAGTCTAGCCACGATTTCCTTTCTATCTTAACGGCGCAGCGTGGGGCTAATGCCAGGATAGTTTGGCGATGCGTTGGGGCGCTGCTTTGGTCCCTTTGGTCGGTCCGGAACAAAACTACGATTGAGCACAGTTCCCGGCCCACCCCGCTGATATCATCTTCAAATGTCACATTTTCCTTCAGGTATGGGCGCCTTTGGGGAAGAAGCATGACGAGGACCGCATGAAGGAGACTATGGAGCTGATCAAGATGACCATAGTGAAGGCGCAATAAGATGGGACGACTGCGTGACCATGGGTTTCTTCCTTTAAGCTATCTATCTTCTTGAGGCTCCGCTTTTGTGAACTAGACCTAATGTATGTGCCTTCCTAGTTATATTCGGAGCCTACGGTTCGAACACTGTTTTATTTGGTTTGTAAGACTTTAGTTTGTGTGGATACTGCCTGGTGGCTTTATTAATTTAAAGCCGGACGCCTCTAGCGTCTATGTTTCAAAAAAAAATAAAAAATTCCGAGTCCGGTTAAGTTATAAATTTCTTAGAGATGCCCTAAGCGCAAAACGGATCTGTGAACCTGCATGATCCTGACTCCTGAGGTACTGCACCTTTTGGAAGAACAACTATACTAGGCATCCCTGTCGGGTGTCATTACAGTTTTTATTGGCGTTATCCCTACTCTTATAAAAAATCAAGTTGGTAATGATGGTGTGACTGCCATCTTGCAATATAGACCGTCTGATCTATATCTGACGGATAGAAAGCAAACTATGGCAATTTTGCAAAAGGATACCCGCACCTCTCTCGTTCATCCTTATCTCCCACAACTTTATTATTGAGTAATTAAAAAAGGAAGCCTCTGGAACAATTGGCATGGTGGCCGCTACCGGCATCGTCCATCCCCATGCCTCCGCTAGGTCCGACCACCGATTAAAAAATGCATCTTGATGGTTCGTGCAATGCACGGGCATCTTGCTAGTAAGAGCCAAAATTGAAGTTGCTAATTTATTGCGCACAAAGCGGAGGTCAAAAGACCCTAAAACTTGGTTACAATTACACTGGCTATTTTTCATGAAGAACAAGCTATTTTGGTGTTCAAAAGTGGCCCTGCTAAATAAAGGGGAGCCCCCAATTTTTTATGAAAAAAAGCAGAGCAGACAGGAATTTAACATTTGGGAGTAAAATCACAACAATATCAAGAAGACTAAAGACATGTTATTTAGCGAAGAACTTCTGTCAACAAAGAAGAACTTCAAACCACAATACAAGGATCATTGTTCTGGAAATCTGAGCAATATGATGATCACCCTACAGAGATAAAGGAAATGTTATATTGTGTGGCAGTCCTTGGCAATATATATCAAGTGAAAGAGTGTAAGAAAAGGCGGCTAGGGTTTCTACCTCCCGTCGGCGGCGCCGCCGATCTCCCACGTCTCCTGTGGCCTTAGGGCCATGGGTGTGTGGTGGATCCCGACCCTTGCCCGCGGGAGGGCTCCGTTTTCAGGTACTTCTTCAAGTTTTTGCTAGGGTTTGTGTCCTGCTCAAGAAGACGAGACAGCGGCGGCTTCTTGAAGATGAAATAAGGTTCTCCCCGCCTAGCTCCCTTCCCAATGGTGTGTCTAGCATCTTCGGAGGGCGTGTGGAGGTGTGTCTCCGGCGGATCTCGCGAGATTTTGGTCGGTGGTTGTCTTTGGTGGATCTGCTCGGATCCGGTCTTTGTTCGTCTTTGTTCATGTGTCTTCAGGTTGGATCCTTCCTATCTAAAATTCTCCTCATCGGCGGTGGTTGCTGTTCTGGGGCGTTGGTCCTATGGGACCTTAGCACGACGACTTCTCAACTGTCTACTAAGTTGTGCCCGGCTCCGGCGAGGGAGGGGCGATGACGGCGGCGCGCCTTCAGCTCACTTCAGTGCTTATAGTTGTCGCTAGGTGGTCTATGAATCTGGATGTATTTTTTATTATTTCTGGTGTTCGTTGTACTATCATGATCGAAGATGAATAGATCGACAGTTTCCCGAAAAAAAAAGGCGAGGAAAACTACCAAAATATTTTTTTGTCAAATAAAGTGCAATTGCCAAGGAGCGCATGCACCCTAGGTGATATGATCTCCCTTAAAGCAAAGACGAAATAAGATTTCAGTAATGCATGCTGTTTCTAGGAACCGCCTAAGCATACTTATTATTATCTTGTAAGCCAAACCAAGATTTGACACAATGTACTAATATTAGTTACTTCTCTCAGAAGTGACACAATGTACTAATATTAGTTACTTCTCGCAGAAGTTACAATATAGAGAACAACATCTCTTTGCAGGTTGCTTAACAAATGGCGAATGGTTAACTACTGGAGAACAACATCTCTTTTCTCCATGCCGCTATGACACCATGACACTAAACCCTGAATCACAAGTCTCTGTCACCCTCAACTTCATGCTTATAAATAGTGGTTATGTTCTCGCAGTCGGATTATGCTTTTGAGAGTTCAAATCATCTAGGCTGCGCCCACAAACCGAAATGGGACCAACACAGGATTGCATCTGATTTGATCACATACTTTCCACCAAACTTGTAGATCATGCAACACCAATTCAAGGATAGCTGGGGCACGAGGTCATCCCTTATCTGAATATGCTTTTGAGAGTTCAAATCATCTAGGCTGTAGGCTGTACCACACACACCGAAGTGGGAACAACACGGGATTGTATCTGATCTGAGAACACAGTTCTCACCAAACTTGTACGTAAATGATGTAGCACCAATTCAGGGAGAGCTGGTGCACGAGG